TTGGCCTTTGTGTTGATCCGTTTCCAGTTGATCGGTAGTGGAGCCTAGTTGGGGTCGATCGGGGACCTTGTTGCTTTTGGGGTTCTTCTTTTATTTTGGTTCCGTAGTCGGACCTTGATTGTATTTAGATGTTGTAATGTTGTATTCATGTATTTGTGTAAAGTGGCGATTGTAAGCCAACTATGTATCTTTTCCCTTATTGTATTACATGGGTTGTTTGTGAAGATTACCTCACTTGAGACATTGCTTTCAATGCGGTTATGCCTCTAAGTCGTGCTTCAACACGTGGCAGATATAGCCGCATTGAGGGTGTTACAGAAGCTCTCCCTCGACTCTTTGCCGGATTGTGAGTTCGTGGGACGTCACCGAGCCGAACGTGTGCAGATCGCGGAGGTGCCGTACTTTTGGTGCTAGGATTAGTCGATTGTGAAGACGTACGACTACATCAACCGCTTTGTCATAACGCTTCCAATTACGGTCTACGAGGGTACATAGACAACACTCTCCCTCTCGTTGCTATGCATCACCACGATCTTGCGTGTGCGTAGGATTTTTTTGAAATTACTATGTTCCCCAACAATAGTATGGTACTGCTGCAACTACAAAGCCTGGTCAAGAAGGGTACTGCTGCACAAGAAGGCCCCTGCCAAGAGAGTGCCAACCTTAAAGGTCAGAGTCTCAACTGCTGAAACATCTAAGCCAACTGGAGAGGCTGCTGGAGAGGGAAAGAAGAGGAATGAGAGGGTCAAGAAGATAACTGCCAGAGTGCTTGGTAGATCCTCCATAATGAGAGAGCCAGAAGAAGATGAAGATGAAGAGGATGCTGCACCAGCACCCAAGTCTCAGAAGCTCATGGGAGATGCAATCAAGTCAGGGACTGCAACATCAAAGCCCAAAATTGCTCCCAAAGCAACAGCTCAAGCTCATAAGCCTTCTAAACCCAAGAGAAGCACCGGAAACATTCCTGCTGAAGAAAAGAACAAGGCACCAGTGCCTGAAGCTGAAGAAGAAGATGCAGAAGCCCAAGTGCTGAGAAAACCGAAACCAGAGATTTCAGAACACAATGACACTCATCCAGTGGCTGAGGACATGAACATCAGAAAGGATGCAGGATTGAGACTTCGGAGGCAGTCTGATCCATATGTTGTAAGAAGGAGAACTACAGTGGACTATAGGTTCCACACCAAGGAACAACAAGATTTCTATGAGACCATTCTGCTTGACAAGAAGCCAATTGTCTGTGATATGAAATGGGTCGATTGGGAATTCATTGATGAGAATGAAGACTTCTTCCCAGGTGTACATGAAAGCTTCAAAGCTTGTGGAGTTGATGAGTTTGTGGGTCAAAATTTGACCAAATGGAATGATGAACTCATTATGCAGTTCTACTCCACTACTCATTTCTATCCAGATGGCAGAATCGTGTGGATGTCTGAAGGTACAAGGTACCAATCAACTATTGATGAATGGGCCAAGTTGATCAATGCCCCAGAAGAGCAAGAAGATGATCTGGATGTGTATGCCAAAAAGAAGAAGGACCACAACTTTATGGCAAACATGTACAAGGAGATCCCTGACAAAGCTTTGGAGACACACAAGTTTGGATCTGTGCACTATTTGTTGTCTGGTCTGCCTACTATAAACACCATCTTAAGGCATACTCTGTTACCCAAATCTGGAGATCACAAGATGATAAGAGGACACTCCATCAACTTGCTGCAAATCTTTGATGTACCACAAAAATTCAAGGTCATGAGTCTGATTGTCGAGACAATCAAGAGGATAGCTACTAACCAGAAAAGATCTTGTGGGTATGCTCCACGCATTCAGGTGCTCCTCAAAGATGGGAACATGTACTTACTTGTTGGACAAGGAGCATTTACCCTTGCACCAAGATTTTGAAGATAACATAGTTGTGATGAATGAGAATGAACCTTCATCAGCACAAGCATAAGAGAAGAGAGCTAAGGCAAAGACAGAAAAGGCTGCAAGGATGCCAAGTGCTAAGGAAGCATCTCAGGTATTCTTAAAGAGCAAACAAGATCAGCTAGGTTATCTAATTCAGGCAACATTGAGGATTGAGAAGGGCTTGGCCACCCTGACCCAGAATTAGGAAAGCTTGGAAAGGATTGTTGAGACAAAATTGTATGATCTTGACCTCAAGGTGATAGAGATATAGAGTGCAGTCGAGCAGCTCTAGGAGGAAGCAGAGGAGAAGAGAGGGAATGCAACTACGGATGCTTTTCAGCGTGTGCCAAGGAATCAGAGGTCAGCTGCAGTGCCAGTATCAGATACAAGAGCTACTTCATCTGCACCATCAGCGATAGCTTCAGTGCCACCTCCAGCACCTGCTCCATCAGCTCCAACCACATCAACTGATGCCTTCGTCCTTGGAGTTCTCTCTACACCACCTCCCGAAGACCAAGCCTGAGAGACGCATAGCACTATGAATTTTCAAACTTTTTGGTAACTTGTTGCCAAAGGGGGAGAAATGTATAGATCATAGGCTTCGAGAGAGAGTGTTTTCCTCATGTGTCTCTCTTGCATTTTGGTTGAACTTTATTGTGTGCCTGTTTGATACTTTATGTCTATGTGAGATACTTGCATGATCATGTGTTTGACCACATGCTACTTTAATGTTTGCTTGGATGACATTATTCTTTATATTCTTATATGATTATTCACTTTGCTTGGTGATGAGTGCATGTTTTAATTTATATCATTTTGAGCGCTCCACCAAGATGTATGTGACATGGAAGAGTGACCCGTGATCCTAATCGATTGTACATTTGCATTAAAAAGCAAATCTTAAATAGTGCACAAATTTAGGGAGAGCTCTTGCTTATCACATACTTCTCAAAGCGATGATGTATTTAAATCTTATTATCATTTGTCGAAGCTTTGATCTATATGTTGTCATCAATTACCAAAAAGAGGAAGATTGAAAGTGCCACTATCCCTGGGTGGTTTTGGTAATTATTAACAACATATAGCTCATTGAGCTAATGCTATTTCAAGATAAATATTTAAGGAAAGTTCAATGATTGGCATGGCATGGATTAGGATTGTGGACCCCTCAAAATGCTAAGGACACATATTGGCTCAAGCTCAAGACTCTACATTTTACTTTTAGTGATCCAAGATCACATTGAGTCCATAGGAAAAGGCAATACTATTAAAAGGGGATGAGGTGTTGCTTAATGGCTTGCTTGCTCAAAATGCTTAGTGATATGCTCCAAAAACCCTTAACCACCTTCTCATATCCACATATGTCCCAAACCAAAAATCAAACTCGGCCCCACCAAAAATGTTTCATCCGGCGCCACCAAGTTCACTTGAGATAGTCACTGCCACAAACCCTAGTCACTTCGGTCTCACCGATAGGGCTCTCGGTCTCACCGAGATGGGATTGCAAACTCTCTGTTTACCTTCGTAATGTTTCGGTCCAACCAATATGAGCAATCGGTCCCACCGAGTTCGCAATGCAAACTCTTTGTTTCCCTTTCGTAACGTTTTGGTCTCACCGAAATGAGCGATTCGGTCCCATTGAGTTTTCCTAACCAACTCTCTGGTTAGCTTATTACCAAAATCGGTCCCACCGAGTTTGTGTAATCGGTCTCACCGAGATTACGTTATGCCCTAACCCTAATGAAATCAGTCCCACAGAGTTGACATGTCGGTCCCACCAAAAAACCTAACGCTCACATTTTGAACTAAATTGGTCTGAACGAGTTTTCTGATTCGGTCCCACCGAGTTTGGTAAATTGTGTCTAACGGTTAGATTTTGTGTGGAGGCTATATATACCCCTCCATCCTTCCTTCATTAGTAAGGAGAGCCATCAGAACGTGCCTACACTTCAGCATTCATTTTTTGAGAGAGAACCACCTACTCATGTGTTGAGACCAAGATATTCCATTCCAACCATTTGAATCTTGATATCTAGCCTTCCCCAAGTTGCTTTCCACTCAAATCATCTTTCCACCAAATCCAAATCTGTGAGAGAGAGTTGAGTGTTGGGGAGACTATCATTTGAAGCACAAGAGCAAGGAGTTCAGCATCAACACACCGTCTATTACCTTTTGGAGAGTGGTGTCTCCTAAATTGGTTAGGTGTCACTTGGGAGCTTCCGTCAAAATTGTGAAGTTGAACCAAGGAGTTTGTACGAGCAAGGAGATCGCCTACTTCGTGAAGATCTACCCTAGTGAGGCAAGTCCTTCGTGGGCGATGGCCATGGTGGGATAGACAAGGTTGCTTCTTCGTGGACCCTTCGTGGGTGGAGTCATTCGTGGACTCGCGCAACCATTACCCTTCGTGGGTTGAAGTCGCCATCAACGTGGATGTACGATAGCACCACCTATCAGAACCACGCCAAAAATCTCCTTGTCTACATTGCGTTTGCTCCCTCCAAACTCCTTCCTTTACCTTCATGTGCAATGTTTTACATTCTGCTGCTATACTCTTAGACTTGCATGTGTAGGTTGATTGCTTGACTTGTGCTAAGTTGTTAAAATCTGCCAAGACTTAAAATTGGGAAAAGACTAGATTTTTATTTGGTCAAGTAGTTAATCACCCTCCTCTAGACAAACTTTCGATCCTACACCAGGCTTCTCGGTTTCCTTTTTTAGCATTGCATGAGAGTTGATGGTTCCAACTGTACAAATGCACCTACCCAAGGATTGAAATCACACATACAAAATAATAGCCTAAGGCCCCGTTTGGATGTTTGTTTTGAGGCTCGGATTTTGGAATTGGTGTTGGGCCTCCCGAATATGACTATTTTGATGGCCTCTAAATTGAGATGTCGAAATGAATCTCAATACCAACCGATATTGAGAAACACTACCATATTGCTTCTTCTTGAGCTTCCGTTGATTTTTCCCTTGAAGAGGAAAGAGTGATGCAGCAAAGTAGAGATAAGTATTTCCCTCAGTTAAAAACCAAGGTATCAATACAGTAGGAGATACAAGCAAGTCTCTAATATATGCACCTATACAAACAATCAAACACTTCCACCCAATGCGATTAAGGGGTTGTCAATCCCTTCACTGTCACTTGCAAAGGTGAGATCTGATAGAGATAAGATATAAAAAAATACTAAAACATAAAACAAATTAAAGTAAATAAATTTCAACAAGATATTTTTGGTATTTTTGGTTTATAGATCTGAAAATATATGATGAAAAATAGACTCGAGGGCCATAGGTTTCACTAGAGGCTTCTACATTTTTATACATCAGGACATTTTTTGATACACATTTTACATTTTTGAAATAGATGATTACAATTTTAAAAATTGTGTTTGATAACTACCTTTTCCATACACAATCTACATTTTAAGCATATATCAGGAACATATTTTTTAATTATATGTTTTTATGTTAAGAATTTTTAATACACGTCCTACATTTTTTGTGCACACCAAGAACCATTTTTTCGACCCTTAACATTTTCTAAAGAATTTTTTAATATAGATTTTCAACAATTTCCTATAATATGTATGACCCTGTCGGCCTCGCTCAGGCCGAAGAGGACCTTTTAGGTCTTCCTTAGGCTTGCACACTCATCAGCGGAATCGTAATCAGCATCGGCGCCCTTCGATGATGCTACACTCTTACTTAATCTACCATTCTTTGAGCTTTCACAACCCTTCGATCTGTTATGAGCTTTTTTGCTTGGCATAAAGTCATCGTCGCCGCTCTCACTTTCTTCTACGGCCACCCCTGTCAGATGCAACATGAGCCTTGCCTCAGTCCTGACCTCGTTTGCTTGGCATAAAGTCATCGCCGTCTTCACTCACTTTCTTTGAGCTTGCGCCACTCCTCACCGATGCTGCACTCTATCGTGGTGCTCGCTCAGCTGGTATAGGGCTCCAGAGAGACTTCATCCACCAAAAGTTGAAGATATTCTTGTTAAAAAATTCCGTGTCCTTGAGGTATCTCTGGAAAATACAAATAACAATGAAACAAAATTAGAATGACGAACAAATGGTCTAACTAGGTGCAATCTGAAATATCAATTACCTTAACATGGTCATCATATTGCTTCTGCTGAAATTTTATTTTTGGACACTCGGTAAGAACAGGTGATCCAAAACCCCGGCTTTCATGTATTTGAGTTTAACAATCCAATCCCACCTTCCACGCAACCGGAAAAAATCTTGTTGAATTTCCTCTTGGTTCCTTTCATGGAGCTTCTCTGGGAGCCCGGGCCTCAAAAAACACTTATCCAACTCTGTCATATGGCTATCACTACTAACTAATTCTTCAAAACGCACACCTCCCAAACTAGGCATCTGCATTCATGCAACATTGCACAAAATCAAATGAGACATCAGTGGAGTAAAACCACAGGGTGAGTGGCTTGGTGAAGTCATCAACAATTAACCAGGCCTTATATTGTAGGGCAGAGGGAGTGGCAGCTAAGATCGACGGCGTAGACATACACCTGCCTTGTTTAAATGACACAAGGTATCATAGTCATATATATAAGCATACAATCAAGAGGTCTCGAGCCTGCTGTTTCTGTCATGGCTCAGATCAAATCAGGTGCAGATAGTATACATGACAAAGGTACATTGCATGGAACCATTTGAGTATCTTCTGAAGGATACAACAAATGATGATCTGCAGCGGCTATTGAGAGTGTTTCAGAATCATCCAAATCCTGCTGCTAACAGTAATCTATCTACAACATATTGTTTCAGTTTTTAAACAAAGTTCCAATTTAGCAGCAAGTCTTCAGATTTCTCATCTCGAGCATATAATGAGTTCGAAAATATGTGCCAAGTATTACTCAGATAATGGTATTCAAAATCATTACAACAATCAGCAGAGTTGAACTTTAATGGTAAGATTTACATTCAGCATAGAGTTCAGTGATTCACTGTTGAGCAAACGATAACTTCAACAGCACTATTCAGGGAAATCAGGCAAGTATTCAGTGTTGACAGGCAACAAGAAAGAGACTCGGAGAACAATGCCATAAAACATAATGTGAAATAACACCAACACCGGAGTTAATGTAAACTAGCACAGGGTTGCAAACATGTGGCCCGTCTGACAAAAGTATCATAAACAATAGTCTCTCGAATTCTACTAAGGTACCAGATGATACAAACTCAAAAGGTACTACAAACACGCTAACAACTCAGGTTTGACAACACACAAAATGAAATAGGCCAACCGGCGAGAACAAGTAGCTACATATGTGCAAATGGATCAGTTAAATCCAAATCACCGATATGCTTGATATCATAAGAACTGCGGACACAACTACCAGTTCTAAAATGAAACTGAGCATCTCTGGAAACCCTGTTCTCTAGCTCAAGCTTCCTGCGTTGTTTTGCCAAGAACTTCTCATTGTTATTCCTGGTTGTGATGCCAAGTGTCACTGACTCTAGCACTTTCGCATTCAATACAAAGAATGTAAGAAAGTTAATTTGCGACTTCTTCCCCCGATATAGTTGTAACACTAACGTCTTCAGACTCATGTCAAAACATTTTAACAGATTCCGGTGTTTACGACGCCACAAATTCCCCGGTCTTGATTGAAATGACTGAAATAACATACACAAATAACCAAATCAACAAGTTCAGACCAAAAGTAGATCAAAAAGGTTGCTGAACTATCAATGAAGAAACATCACCTGAATGTACAACTTCTCCAAGCACGGAAAGCATCTCATCAATTCAATAACAGTATCCAAACTAAGATTGTGCATATCAGGAGCCAAAATCTTGACAGTTTGTACCACTGTTATCAGGTTATCAACACACAATCCCTTTATCAAGTATGAAAGCCACAATATTAGGCCAGTGCACAGGTCAGGTGATAGGCAATTTTTCTGCGCATAGAAATGCAACTGAGAAGCCATAGGACATACCTGAAGAACAGTGGAGCCAATCATGAGTCTGGACAATTCACCTGACCTGCACTTATCACTAATGAAGCCTAAAGTCTCCAGTTTAGGAGCTGCGAGTACGGTTACCTGCAGAATACTGCCCCTCTCAAAGAGCATCCTCACAAGACAAGGAGCTTTCTCAATGACGATTTGTTCAAGCAGCAGTGACTCTATCGGTATCCCATATTCTCTCACAGCCATGCATCTCATAGTTGGGGAGTTTATTCGGATGCGGCGGAAGCCAGAGCACATGTCAATCAGCAAGCACTCGAGAGCTGGGCACCCGGCAATCAGGCTATGCAGCGAGCTCTCCGAGATCATGACATTTACAAGACCGAGCTGCTTAAGCAAGGGGAAGTGAAGGTGGAGCTCATGGAAGTTGACGTCCGAGAGGTTGCATCCACCAATGTTGGCAACACGGAGGGTGGGCGAGAAGCGGAGGATCAATGCCCGCTGTGGTTTCTCTAACAGATGGTTGATGAAATCAAGCTCCTCAAGGTTGTCCAGAGCGGCGGATCGGAGGCAAGCTTCCACGGTGTCTGCTAGTATCCAGTGGATGCAGGTGTTGATGTAGAGACGACGGCCGGGTCCCCGGTGGGAGGAAAGGATGCGGGAGACGACGTCGGAGCGGACTTCATTCCTGCCGGCGGTGAGCTCACGGCAGTCGAGATTAAGAGGGGCGGAGAGCCAGAGGTCGCGCCACCGGGACGCGAGGATTCGGGTGCGGGCGCCTTCCTTGGTGGGGAGGAGGGAGATGATGTCGCCGAGCACGGCGTCGGGGAGGGCGCTGATGTAGTCGGCGCATCCTCCGTCTTCTTCCACACCGGGCGAGGCCGATCTCCTCCGCTTCGGGCTAGGACCCGCCGCATCCATTTGCACGAGGCGCACGGGAGGCTAGGGTTTGCTTCAGTCGAGACTCGAGGGGGTCAGAGTTGGGGGAGAAGGAGCGCGTGGGGGCTCCAGGCATGCGGATAGGAGTCGCCGGAGCCGGCCGAGCAAGGGAGGAAGAAGTGGGAGGCGGGGGTGTGGAGGCCGCCCGCCGGCGGTCTGCTTGGGTGGAAACGGAAGGGGACGGGCGAGAGTAGTCGAGAGGCGGAGAGGAACGGGCCCGCTTCACTGGAAGGTCGATAGCGCACGTCCTTTTTCTTCGAGAATACCTCAATAGCGTATCATTTTTTTAGAAGATAGAAAATTAAAACTATTCAGCTGTGCATCAAGGGTGATAGCTCACGATAGTCACGTTGTTTGTTTTTGTTTCGCTGGTAGGCTTTTCTCCCCATACACGCTTCTTCCTCTTTTGTCTTTTTGTCTCTTTCGTTTTTCCTCCTCTCAACTAGGTTGCGGCAGCCGCCGCCGCCGCCGCCCCATCGCCCCTCTGGCGCTGCCGACTGGAGAAAGGCCTGCTTCTCCTCAGGGTCTTCACTTTTGTGGCTAATCTGATAGGAAGGGCGGCGCTGCTCCTCCCCCGACAGCAAGGCGGGTGTCCCATGCGCTCGCCAGCGAGGGAGAGGCTGCCACCTCTCCTCACCTCCTCCCAGGTTCCCAGCTCGAGCGCCACCGTGAGCTCACCGGAGGCCAGCGCGGCCGTGCCGCCCGCCGACTCGGAGCCGCCGCCGCCGCCGTGGGAGCCCGTCGGCGAGGCGCGCGTCGATCTGCCGCCCAACCCGGAGGACGCGCTCGAGGTGTTCGTCGACGGCCATACCGTGCGGATCCCCAATGGCTTCTCCGTTCTCCAGGCCAGCGAGGTCGCGACATCGACATCCCACGCTTCTGCTACCACTACCGCCTCTCCATCCAAGCATGGCGAGCCTCCCCCTCCGAGGTCCTGGCTGCCGGCCTCCTAGCACGGTGGACCTCCCCCATCTTCATTCTCTGATTTAGAGGCTGTAGCTTCCGACACTCCGATCTTCTACAGCGGCTGGCGGTCGTGTCAACTCACTGCTTATCTCGTCCATCTCCAAGCCTCCAATATGGTAAGTCCTCAATTCCTCTTCCTCAGTTCCTCATGTTGTCAATCTATCGTGGTTAGATTGAGTTTCAAAAAGGAAAAGCCTTGTGTTGATTGAGATTCAAAATGAAATGGAAAAAGCTTGGTTCAATTTTGGTTGACGTGGTTCCTTACATGTATTCATGGGCAGATATAACTTAAATGTATGTTTGTTTTTTTACAATAGCAGGCTAGCAAGATATATTTATCAGGATCAGTGCCTAATATGCACTATGGATGTTTAAATTTGATTGCCGCTGGGTGTTGTAGCATGTAGACTGAAGTCTGAAATGTTGTTCTTATGTATTTTGGGTGACGAATTTGATGCTTATGTTAAATTTTTGGGGGTTTCTTGGGGGAAGAAAATAGTGGAAGTTAATTTATTGGCATCTGTTAGCAGTTAGCACTGCTGGTTTAGGATCTTCATCGTGAACGTCTTTAGCTAATGGCTTTGCTATTTGATCATGGGGAGAGTGCCAGAGAGCATAATATTAGGCTTCTTCTTGGGATAATAATAGTAACATGAGTTTGATCTTATTTGCATGGCAAATGATGAGTGCAAGGAAGGAAAGGTGCACATGATCAACGCTGAAGATGTCTTCAAGGCGCTCTATGAGATTGAGTTCCCAGAGTTTGTTGAGCCCCTGAGAACTGCATTGTAAGGTCAGTGTTGTTGTCTACTTGTCTCCATTCTGTTAGTCTGTTACTCTTGCTCAGTTGTGTCCATCAAAGATACATTCTTTGGGTTTAGATGCTGCATGGATAAGTAACTCTATGTGACAATGCAAATGAAGGTGAAGTGGCAAAGTCCGTTGATTATTAGTGAGAATCTGGGAGCATAAATAGATAGAAGTTGCTAACAACAATGGAATTTTATTGTCTCTTTATATCCTTATGAACGAGGGGTTGTGTGAATTTTGAAATTCATTTGGCTGTAGAGAATAGCTATTGTATTTACACACAATTGTTATAAAATGGGAGAATAAATAAATAGTGAACAACAATGCAATTCTATTGGCTCTATATCCTTATGAATGTGGTATTACATTAATTTCGGATTCCTTCGCCTGTGGCGAGTAGCTTTTGTATTAGGACACAATTGTGATAAAAGAACATTCAGATTTATTCTATTGCACTCAACTCTTTCTGCAATTTCAAAAGCAAAAAATGAAGCCTGGAGCATAATGGAGGAAACTAGATAAAAAACAGTACCGCAGGAGCAAAACGGCGCAACGGATGATGCCAACGTGGATGAAGATTAACTTCTTTGACCTTGTGGTAGGCTGAATCCGAATCACATTAATGGGTGACCTTTCTCGTGATCCTTTTTCTGAAACCATTAGACAATGACTTAGACTGACATTTTGGTAGTTGTGTAAGCTGAAACATGATGCTAAGCTGAACAATTACTGTCTTTTTTCTTTGCGTGAGATCACATTTTGGTAGTTGCAAAGCCTAAACCATGATGATTTTTGTTGCTTCTGTAGTCTCTAAGGAAGTTGTAAGATAATGTACTTAAGCTAAGTTTCTTCTGTTTCAATAAAACACAGGTTGGTAGTTGCATAACTTGAACCATGATGTTTTCTTGCCACTGCTGTAGTCTCTAATGGAATTGCGAGATAATTTAGTTAAGATAATCTCATTGGTCTGCACTACTCTCAAAAAATCAGAAGAGCCATTTAGAAAAAGGTAGGGTACTATTATACATTGATCATGTAATGTACAGATTAAGACACAACTAACAAAAAAATATAATTGTGACACTTCAGACTTGCAGAGTTTTTTGTTGTTGAAATTTCGTCCACATGAGGTCGTCCTCCTCTCTGGTTTTGCTGATTCCGACGGCGTCGGCTAGACTGACAGGTTCCCTCCCTCTCACCCTGATCTGCACTTCCTGTGAGTTCCCTTTTATTTCGTCTCTCATCATCTCCACATGATTCTCGCATATCGTTGTATTAGCTTGAGTTTGTGGTACCTGCAATTTATACCGAAACTTAATCTTGAGGCCAGGATTCCATGCCCTTTTCACTTGAGCTGATTTACCGCTTAATATTTGATGCGGCATGCATTCTTTTGATTGAAATTTGTATTTTTTATGACGCCATTGGCAATTCAGTACCAATAATAGGAATTTACTTTGCAGGATATCTGTGGCATTTGTTCTTATTAGGGTGTCAATGCTGGCGATGAAAAGATTATTAATGCTCTTATTTGGGTGTCAATGCTGGAAGCTGCTCATGAGAAATGTAACTTGAAGGTCCTCTGCGGTGCTATATTTTTAGAACTTTGGTTTTAATTAAGAACAATAGGAAGTGATTCCATGCTTGTACTTGACTTCATGTGCTTCCTTGGACTTGATATCTCCTGTTTTTATTGTGAGACTAATTAGTCGCATTATATATCACAAGGAATTCTACTAACCATGTAAAAGGCATAATGACAAATTGAGTAAAGATATATCTGAATTGTTTTGGACACTAATGCTGTTTCTAAGGTTACATCTTCACCATCAGTCTTATCAAAGACAGGTTTCCTGTCAATTAGATACTTTTAACTTCTATAGATTATATCATGGTCGCAGAGAATAACTTCAATAATTATATCTTGTATTCATGGGTATTTTTGTCCTGCTTTCATTTTCTTGGCTGAAAATCATTTATAGTTGTGTAAAATGCTTGATTTTACCCCCTTTCTTGCGAAAAATGGTTTGCTTGCAGAATCTGCCCATTATTAAGAAAATGTCTTATGTTGATAAGTAAGTTCAAAGTTAGTTAGAGATATATCATTGCTACCTTTCCCTCCTTGTACACCTCCTTTGATTTTGCATCCTGTTACAGTTGTTGTTTAAATTTTGTAGCATGTTGACTTATACTGTTATACAATACAAGACATACTTACCGAAGATTTGATACACATGAGCTAATTGTTTGACCTCTTCCCTAACATTTTGACACACACAAGCTAATTCTGTAGCAGGAGCTAATTCTGTAGGATGACCTCTTCCCTAACATTTTGATACAAATGTTCACTTTCAGGTATAATATATCTATTCAATGTCGAGCCTCTGTCCCCCTCTTCCAAAAGTTTGCTTGATCGCGCCCGCGCCATGGCCGCCGAGCTCCTTTTTGCTCCACCCGCCAACCAGATCGGCCGATGAGGCGGATTGCCTCAAGGCGGTGGACCATGGAGGTCATCCATGGTGTGTGCATCCCCGACATTCGCTCATATTTTCCTCCTCCGCTTCACGGACGATTCTTGAGTAACCTGAATCCCCGACTGGCGGTTCTGTTTCAGTTTTGCGTTGTCTGATTTTGGTTCCGACGATTCTTGAGTAACCTGAATTCACTTCTTCCAAGGGGTGACAGTCAGCTGCTTGACATGAATTTTGACACTGTATGAGAGTCATCCTTTGCAACAACGGATAGCTATATTCTTGATACTAATCTATTACTGTATCAACAACATGAATGGATCAAATCAAAATCTTCTTTCAAGAGTAAATGGTGCTTCTGTTGCATCTTGTGAAAGCAACAATTACAGTATTGATAAAGAAACCAACTCATCTGAGATTAAATCAGCAAATAAGGTAGCATGTCCTCTAATTAGATTTTTGTTCTCCAAGTTTCTTTCAATCAATTCTTTACCGTGTGCTTTTAGGTTTCAAACAATATTTATGGTTGTTCGGATGAAAAGAATTGGCGAGCATGATTTTCCTTGTCCTCTCAGTAATATGATACAACAACCGAATAATTGTGCTCGTGAAACAAGAAAATGACCAAAAGCTAGCATCACATTTTATGAACCTGACATGGGTGTCTATTTAACTTCTGATATGAGTTCTTTTGTTCGGCTATATTCTTCTGCAATAGTCACTACAGGAACAAAT